GCAACATTTAACAAAGGTAACGTTACATAATTTGGCTCCAGTACAACTCACAAGGTTCACTGACAAAACAACTGTCTTATACTAAACATGTTTTCAAACAAATACAACATGCTAACGTTATTAGCCCAAACCTATGGTATTTTACACTGTATAAATTAGCCTAGCGAAGAGCGGAGGTTTCCTCTGCTCATATGAAGCCAGGATAAATCACACACAAGACTTAAAATGTTGTTTTGTGGAGGCTTATTGTCTTCACGATTTATTGTTTCTTATCTGTGAAATTAAAGTAAACAAAAGCTTTGTTTCCACTGAGGGAAATGGTTTCAGCTTACAGAACCACACTTACCACTGCACCACTGTGCCGCCCCATTTCAGAATATATTAGGTAATTGGATTGTAATTATTGATGCATTAATGTGTTGTTTGTCATTTTAATGTCACTTTGTCACTTTATATTCTTCTAGATAATTTAATCTATAATCATACATCATTATTTATTACTTGTTTTATATTTTGTGTTAATAATCTGGATTGCAAAGTCACTAAAGTTATCAAATATATGTAGTGGAGTAGAAAGTCCCATATTTACCTTTTTAGATGTGGTCGAGATTAAGTGACATAAAATGGAAATACTCAAGTAAAGTACTTTAAAAGTGACAGAACTTAGTTACTTTTTATTACTGGATTAAGGAAGCTGCAAAAAGAGAGTATATGTGTGCCTTTTAAAAAAAATAAATGACCTTAACAGTTATAAAATAATTATCATACAATACGTCAGTTATGAAACAAGTAATGTGTGGGTCAGCATGTCACACTCAAAAATTACAGTTTGAACACTGTACGTGCAAGAAACAGAAACACAAAATTAAGCAACTTGATAACGTTTCGTTCTGTAACTGAAGTCGTGACTGTAAAGATCTCTCGGCTGAGTCACTGGTGTTTAGTATCAGACTTCATCAGATATATTAACGTCATTTTGGAGGAGCAAAACCTGGCTGACGTGTTTTCTAGATAAAGAAGAGTTTGGCTGCAGAGTTGTTGTCGATGAGCTCAGTTTGTGAAACTGTCCAGAGTGAACATGTGAGGTTTACCACAGTGTGACACAACAGGCACTGAACACCACAAACTGAACGCCACGGCAGCAGCAGGCAGGCAGAGTGGTCGAGGTGGAGATGACACCCACTCAAGTGGCTTCTTTTAAAAACATTTCCACTAACCTGTTACTTGATATCACGACACATTTGTGCCTTTAGTATTGTAAGCTGTTGGAGTAGGAACCCTGAGCTGAAGTGAGTGTTTTATCTGAGCGCTGCAGAGTTTCCTCCTTTTGTCCGGATGAAAATAAAGACATTCTTTAAATAACTGTAAAGAGAATAAGATAAAACCTGTTTCCTCTTCTTTAATGACTAAACTGTGAGTGTCTGTATCTGAGCTGCAGATCACTTTACGACACATTGATACTGTGTGTGTGTGTGTGTGTGTGTGTGTGTGTGTGTGTCTGCTCTGCACAATGCAAAACTAAATTCATCATACATTCATTTATAGAGTAGTTTGGATTAAATCCTCTATCATGTAATTTTAGGTTGTGATATAAATACATATTTTGATATAATTTATAAATTAATAAAATGTTTATGGATAAAATGACAAAACAGGAATGTCTGTTTTTGTCTAATTCAGTGAATTTAATTTCAGTCCCTCCAGGATTTCGTGGGCTGTTTTTGTTTATAAGCTTTGTTTTTTTTTCTTCTCAATAAAATTGCGGGGGCAAGTGAGCGTTGTAAAAATAATTGTGATGCTTATTATGAGCATTCATTAGAATCTATTTGTCGTGAAGTGGGTGGCATCAACAGCTGATCACCCACAGTCAGCTGTTGATGCAGTTCAAGGCAGTGCTGAAGGTCAGTCTCCATGAGCTGCTCTCCTCCTCCTCCTCCTCCTCCTCCTCCTCCTCTCTCTGCCCTGTTAGCATTAGCTAAAACAGCACAGCATGATCTCATCACTACTCGTCATATAATTTGCCGCTTGGGCAGAAGCCCTGCAGCAGCAAGACAAGGCAAGGTGGCTTTATTTGTACAGCACATTTCATACATCAGGGTAATGCAAAGTGCTTTACAGAGCAATAAAATATAATAAAGGACACAGATGTACAATAAAAGAATGAAAAAATTATTCTAAATAATTTCCTCAGTGGTTTTCTATTTTGTCTCTCAAAGTTCAGACACACCCTTGAAAAAAAATTAGTAATAAAGTTTAATAAAGTTGCAGTGCGGTTTTTTTTTTGTTTTTTTTTTTAATATATTTTTGGGGGCATTTTCAGCCTTTATTTGATAGGACAGACAAGCCTGAAGGGGGGAGAGAGAGAGGGAGTGACATGCAGCAAAGGGCCGCAGGCTGGAGTTGAACCTGGGCCGCTGCGGCAACAGCCTTGTACATGGGGCGCCTGCTCTACCACTAAGCCACCGATGCCCCGAAAGTTGCAGTGCATTTAAAATCAATACAAGTATTTGAATAATAAAAATTCATTATTTGATTTAATTAAAGGTAGGGGTGGGAATCTCTAGGCACCTCACGATTCGATTCAGTTCCGATTCAGAGGGCAACGATTTCAATTATAAAATGATTCTCAATTCTAAAACGAGCCAATAAGAAAATTTACACTAGATATTGAAAAAACATTTTTGTAATAAAGCTGGGAATACATATCCAGTGCATACAAACTGTAGGCCTATTACTTACTGTGGTTGAGATGACTACAGTACAGTCTACCAGCCTCCTCCGGTCCATCCTCCTCATCCACAAATCTCAACTCAAATCTCGCTCAATTTCTCCTCCAGTATTTACAAAACTATAACTGGCTATAACTGTCTATGAACTATAAGAGCACGAACTATTGCAAAAAATCTAGAAAGATTTTGAGTCTGGCCCTCACCGATGCACCCTTCCTACCCAAGGGGCGGCACTAACTGAGGCATTTCAAATGCTGCCGCATGCAATTGGATAGCACAATAGCCAATCAGAGCAAAAAACAAGGTGACGGGTTCAGAGCGTCACAGCTTTTCCCCTGGTAGAAATGTCAGAGAACATCGCAAAGTTATTACATAACCATTGTGACAACGTATTGATCCTCACAAAACATCTAGGCCTGATCAAACTATCCATCAACTTCGTAATCAGAACTTGAGAACAACATGGGAAAGGATGCTTCATTGATCATAGTCAGTTGTGTGGGCTTCATAACACAAGGCAGGCTACAGCTAGATACGTCCTGTTACTTGTAGCTGCATGTCAAATAGCTTACTATTTCATTAGAGTAAGTTTACCAGATGGCTCTTACCATTTATAAACGAGATGGACTTCATCTACGACAATCCCCAAGAGTTGTCTTGGAAGGTCTTCTGGAGTAGCCAGGATTCAGGACTGCCAAAGACGAGTTGGCATTCGCCTCTTCAGGCAGAAATGCCTAATTTGGCAGCCTCTTTAATTTGGTCGTCCATTAGGGCGATTAGTGGTGATATTACAACCACCAGCGGCTAAGCACTGAGACCCATTTGTTTGCCGACCAGTGGGGATAACTGATATATTATGCTTTTACCGTATTCCATCGGCAAGCCGGCAAAAACGTCCTTCCTGGAAACAAAGGCTTCGAGGGTAGTCTTCTGTTCCTCTCTCAAGGAAAAAGATAGGTGTAGTTGGCTTAGCGTTTCTTCCAAAGCTAAATTGAATGGACACGGTCCTTCGGCAGCTGCCATCTTGACTGTTTACTTTTCGACTCCTACGGCGCAGCGCTGTCCTCATTGTGTTACGCCCGCCCAGAGCCTGCTTCTGTCAGATAGACTGATCTGATTGGTCTGATAGGCAATTCAAAGTGCTCTGCTCGTTGGGGCCAGATTCCCATGCAGTGCAAATTCGAATTTGCCAGGGGCAGGACATCTGGATTTCCAGGTTAAGGCAGCGGCAAACAGATAAGTCTTCAAACTTGATTTAAAAGAAGTGAGAGGTGGTGCTGAGCTGCAGTTCTCTGGGAGTTTGTTCCAGATATGTGGAGCATAAAAACAAAACACTGCTTCTCCATGTTTAGTCTTGACTCTGGGGACACAAAGCAGACCTGTCTCAGAGGACCTGAGAGGTCCGGATGGCGTAGCTAGCAGAAGGTCAGAAATGTATTTCTATTTGTACATATATAATATGTTTGTATCTACAGTGTGTGCAGTCATAACTTATTGCAAAATAACATCAGGTCTCTCTGGGTTGACTTCTGTCTCTAGAAAACTTGAGGGTCAAAGTTCAAGGCATGATATTATGAGACAGTCGTACAGTATGTCCTGATTGTGTGCATACTGCATGCAACAGTACCTTTTAAGTACAGGCTATAATTAAAAAGAAAAAGTACATGATTCAGAACGCACCCACAGATTTTTACCTACGTTTAAAGTGTACTTTTGCAATGAGCATACATTGACACACTGTCCCTGACATCCAAAACTGACACAGGAGTCATCATTTTTTAATGTGATGGGCTTCTGACCAAGTGTTGATATTTGATGAGTTTGGAGTATGTGTTGCGAAATCACATCAGCACAAAAATCACCCTTGTCTGTTCACTTAAACATTGTGAGAAGAAGTTTATTCCCACCAGCTGTATGTTTGTCCTCTTTATCGTTGAGTAATGTTTTTAAGGTCTTGAAAAACACATTTTAGTTAAGGTGATGATGTAATCCAGACCACACTAAGAAAACCACCTCTGATTGCAAAGGATTGTGGGTAAAAGGTGGTGAATGTCAACATGTGATAACCAGCAGTTCCTCATGATAAAGACGCAGAACAAAATGAAATGTGGGCTGTTTTTTTCTACTAATAATTAACTTCTTAGAATCAACCAAACAAGATTAAAGTCATGTCAGCAGTGTTGTTCATCTGTAGGGAATCAAACCTGTGACCTGACAGTGTTGGTGCCTTGCTCCACGGTCTCTGACTGTCCCCTCTGTCTCCTCCTCCAGTGTGTAACTTCATGTGTCACGAGAAATGTCTGAAGACGCTGCGCTCAGCTTGTTCCTGCATGACTCCGTCTCTGGTGCGGGTGAGTAAAACAAACAGCCCCACATGATGTTTATTGATCAGCTCAGCACCGATCATTGAGTCTGACTAACTGCTGCACCGATCAATAACCCGGCAATGAACATGAACGAGCGGTAACAGAGTGGCCGGGTGTTTTTTTTCCACACCTGATCAGTCCAGGCGAGTTAAGAGCTGACATTATGTCTTTGTCCTGACCTGAAACACACACACACACACACACACACACAGACTGTGGTGGAATGTAGTGGTTAGTGATTACAGCTACACTACAGACATATGATGATCTCATAGACCATGATGCATTGCTGTAGATTAAACGACCCAACAGGATGTAAAGGAGTTAAAATGACAATCTGAAACATCTACAGCAGGAAAGTGACACGTCCACATGAATGAATATATGATATATGAATATTAATCAAGAAACATCAGATAGGAACACACTGACAGGAGTGGGCGGAGCATGACACAGTACGCACCTGGGGACTGATGGGCCCCACCCTGGTACCCTGGGTGTGTTGGTTGTTGACGATCTGGGACGCCGTGTCAACTTCAACCTGTTACATACACTTAGTCTTCAGTCAACACACACACATGTGGTTGGGTTTAGGAAAACAGAACAGGGTTTGGCTTTACAAACACCAGCCTCCTGGTTGAAAGTTGGTGGTTGTTGGACCCATCCACCACCCCTTTTGCCCGCCCTACTTGGGCTTCCGCCACCTTAGCTTTTGTTGTTGTCTCACTACGTTTCCCCCTGATGCCACCGGGCGCCGTTAAACAATAATGGCCCCCCCGCGGCGTATCATGCTGATCTGAAAGGACGGCTTTTTTCATGTAGGAACTAGGGCCCGGCCGATATGGATTTTTTGGGGCCAATGTCGATTCCGATATTGGAATAAAAAAATCCGATAACCGATATATCGGCCGATTAAATTTTTACGTTTTTCAATTTAAAAACCCCGAAATACCTGCTTTTTGATGGCTTAAATATAGTTCAAACACTCGTTACAAAGATATAAATTGAAGGAAGAACATTTTACTATTTTCAAATACTTTTATTATCAAAAAATTGTGTGGAACAAGCAGCATATTAACAATTTGAACACAATATAAATCAAAAATATGATGTGCAAAAGGGAAGTAAACCTCTGGGAAATACAATAATCATGTAAAGTCTATATGAATTAAGACATTCACATGTATGTTCACAGTACCAGAGTTCTTCTTATTATTGCCAATTTAAAAGAGGTAGGTTATAGTGCAAAAAGTAACACAAGGACATCATTTTAAGTAAAACACCATATTCCCTGCATTTTGTTAGTGATGAAAATATAAGTGTTTACATCGGCGGCAATCGGCAAACTTTTGGCCGATTGCTGATTATTTTCTAATGACTATAATCGGCCGATTAAATCGGCCGGTCGATAAATCGGTCGGGCCCTAGTAGGAACTACTTTCTTTCTACTGAACTACACCCACCAACTGTATCACGATGCAGAAGGAAACGTGCATCTACTCATGGACAAGAGGCTCTTGCTTGTGCCAGTACAAGATGTAAACATTAATGCTGTCCTCCTTGGCTGTGCTGTAACGTTAGCTAGCTCAGTGTTGCTAGGTGAGTTACAGTAGATGCTTCTTTCTGCACGGTGAAATAGTTCCCACATGAAACTGCTCACAACAACATCTGTGGATTATCTTGAGTAACCAGGTCATGATTTCTGTGAAGAGACATTATTGTTGAGTTTTTCAATGTGTTTCTTGGAGCTCTGAGCACCACAAGCTGAGTGACATCTAGTTCCATTATATCAGAGAGAAGGCAGACATCTCTACAGCTGATATCTCCAACACTCTGCAGCTCACACCAAAACTATCTAGACTGATAAATAGCTCTACAGGGAAGAGGACAAATATGTATTTTTGATTTTGGGGTGAACTGTCCCTTTAAACAGGTCACTCTGACTCCATGCTGTCTGTATATTTGCATGTGTTTTAGTGAAACCCAGCTGCAGGCCCTTTGAGTTCAGGGGCCCTGAGCTCCGTCCCTGTCCTCTCTGTGTTTGATGTTAACATGTCATTCTGTTATATAACATGTCATGTCATTTAAGTGATGTCGTCGTCATATTCAGGGCTGGGTCGCAGCTTTTAAAGCAAACTGCGGATAATCCCGACTCCCTCTGTGGAGCCGCTAGATTGATTCTGTGCTGAGGGTTTATAAAAGACTGATACAGATGTTTAGTTATTTAATTATTCTAATAAATTAACTCCAGTCTCTGAAGTATTTTCATACATTTATTGGCATTGACAGGTGGTTTATTTTGTCAAAATGTACAAAATCAAGGCAGTTTTGGCTTTTAACATGCAATATTGTGGAGTTTACAGTTTAATTTCCCCCAAAGGAATAGTCTGATCTTTTTTAGCCGGGGTTGTTTTCGGTACTTATCTATAGTCAGTGTATTACCTGCAGCAGATTTCAGCCAGCACAGTCCCACTTTGGAGGAGCAGGCAGGAGTACTGCCACGGAAGCTAAGCAATGTACTGCTGTGGAGAGGTCAGCAGCAAAACATGTTTTTGCCACCTAAAAAAACTCAGTATCAGTTCAAGTGTACACTATATTTAGAATAGTATCACTGCTTTACGTCACTGTCAGTCAGTGATTCCCGACAGGGAACTCTCACTCTCTTTGAACCAGACTCCATTAAGAAAAACAGTAATTTTACATCACAGAACACAGGAGCTGCTGGTGTACCACTGCCTTGTTTGGTTAGTTAGTTTGTCTTATTGTGTGACTTTGGTGTTTCAAAGGGTTAGTTCGGATTCACCAAAGTCACACAGTAACACAAACTAACTACCTGATTGAGGCAGCAGCTCCTGTGTTCTGCAAGGTAAAATTACTGTTTTTGTCAGTGGAGTCTGGTGGCTCTGGAGAGTAGAGATAACGGCTTCAGTTCCCCGGAAATCGCCGTTTGACTCTAAGGTAAAGCTGTGAAAATACTTTAAATATAGCCGACACTTAAACTGATTTATTTTTTAGGTGGCTAAAATATGTTTTGCTGCCCCCGTCCACAGCAGTGCATTGCTTAGCTTCTGTGATGGTACTCCAGTCTGCTTCTCCAAACTGGGCACATGCTGACCGAGTCTACTGTAGGTGATACACTAACTTTGGAGAAGCACCTCATACAACCCCACTCGTATTAACATATGCTAACGTGCTTTAAAGTGCATGTATCTCTGGCAGCTGCATGAACATCGTGTCTTCTGTTTCTCGCTCACATTACCTTTAGTTGTGTAACAGAGTGTCTCTGCTGCCCCCTACAGGTCCCGGTGGCTCACTGCTTCGGTCCGGCGGGTCAGAAGAAACGTTTCTGCTGCGTCTGCAGGAAACAAACAGAGGGAAGCACGGCGCTAAGATGTGAAGGTCAGACCAGTTTCATAACCAGTTAAACCAGTTCAATGTACAGTATTTTAAATGAGTTTCCAAAGTGAGTCATGAAGTTATGTAAAACAAGTTGAAGGGAGTGAAACACAGTCAGGGACAATGAGAAGTTAAAGAAGAAAAAACTGTTTTAAGTGAATTTATCAGATTAATGTTTGAAATTTTGATTTTATGAGCTCGTTAATGTGAGGAACATCGACACTGTTACAAAACAGTTTAAACTTAGCATCTGTTTGGTGGCTGTTCTGGAGCTTTGATCATATCAAATCTTTATCATTTACCAGAAATACATTTTTTTTCAAGGACCTTTAAAGGACTTCTCGGCTGTGTTAAAAACTGAGTTTCTCATTCATTGTGTTCTGCCGTTCGATTGTCAGGGAAGAAGACAAACTGCTCAATATAACAAGAATTTAACAACCAAAAAATGTTGCTTTAATTAAGGATAATGTTCTATTATTCAGATACAGACCAGGACCCGCACAAGGAACACAGGGTGTCTGCAAGTCCTTAAATAGTCTTAAATTTGAATTTGTGAGGTCTTAACTGCTACTTACATATTTATCTAATTTCATTTATCCATTTTTAATGTGTGTTTTTGTGTCAATGAGTGAAGCCTTTCTGTGTAAAAATCCGCATTTCTAATGTTACAAATCTTTAAAAAACTAAAATTCTGTCATTTTACTTCATACTAGCACTTACCTGTTGGCAAAATGTAGACTGACTTAACCACTTTAATAACCATATTCCTACATAACACTTACCTCTGCACAAGACCACATATATGCTACTGACCTGCAACACTTACCTGTGGTGCTTAAATAAATAGAACATGATTTGTCCAAAAATCTGTCCTAAATTTGGTTAAAATGTGTCTTTAATGGGTCTTAAATGGGTCATTAAATTTAACTGTCTGATACCTGTCGACACCCTGAAACAGATAAATAGCAACAAATAAAAACTTCTCATACTTTGTGTGAATGGGCGGAAAAATAGTTGATTGATGACAGTTTACAAAAATGCCAAATTTTGTCACTAAAGGGCCAGTTCACCCAATATTTCTCTCTCCACCCTGTCATGGTATCTGTCCTGTCACACAGTCTGGTTTTGGATAATTCACAAAATATGCTGGCGGTATATGTGGCGTTTTTATTGGAGACATAGTCCCTGTGAAAAGTGTGTGATGCATTGTTGATATTTCTAGAAACTTTTTTATAAAGCACCTCTCTTACAAACATGCAGCACCGAGTGCTTCGTAGTATTGCAAGGCTAATAAATTACAACAATATCACAATAAAATATTTGGACGCTCACATAGGCAGGTAAAAAAATAGAATATTTATAGAAACTAAGAACTAGAACAGAAAATTGAAAACTAGGACAGGACTGTAACCAGTATATAGTACATGTCATTATTTTTAATTTGGGTAAATGTGTCTTTTACACTCTCACACTATATAAAGTCTGATGTGCTTTTTTATGACTGTAGCAGTTTTGTGTGAGAGGATTTAAATATTAACATTATTTGAATTTACTTCAGATATTATCACAGTTTGCATACGAGTCATTTGCACAACATTTGAATGGGAACATGTTCAGAGATGCTGCTGAGTGAGAGGTGGATTCTGCTGAAGGTCAGCTGCCCTGCGGTGGTGGTGTGTGTGTGTGTGTGTGTGTGTGTGTGTGTGTGTGTGTGTGTGTGTGGGAGGGGGTCAGTGTGACAATGTGAGGTGTGAACAGAGCCGTGCTGACCTGCTGCCTCAGCAAGCAGACTCACACCTGCAGCAGCAGAGTTACAGCTGACAACAGACATCATCTACTCCTTCACATTATTAATTAGTATATTATTATAACTGGGTCCAGATTCTTTAGAAGAAGATAGACTTTATCAATCCCTGAGGGGAAATTACATTTTTTCCACCCTGTTGTCATACACACACAGGCCTAAAATACACACACATGCACAAACAGGACCTCTACATGCATTAAATGGAGGAGTGAGGGGGCTGCTTGAGGGCAGTGCCCAGGAGGCGACTGGCACCTCTCCAGCTACTAGTCCACGCTCCATACTTGGTCCTTACAGGGACTTGAACCTGCCACCAAGCCAAGTCCCTATGGACTGAGCTACCGCTGCTGCAGAGAGCAATAAAAAACAAAATTATACAGCTGTGATCCTGAAGCTGTAAACTTTTACTACTGTGGAAGTGAAGAAAGTAAAATACTGCAAGATAAACCTTTATTGATTCCCAAAGGAGAAGTTAAGTTGTTGCAGCAGCATAAGGACATGAATAAAAAGAGATAAAAAAAGTAAATAATAAAAATAATGTAATAATAATCTTTATTTCTAAAGCGCGTTTCAAAACAGTTACAAAGTGTTTTACGTGTCAACAATTAAAACAGACCTGATAAAAACACTTTAGTGCATAAAAACTGAGGAAATAAAAGACAGTTTAAATGAACTTAAAACTCCGGTAAAATCAGGAAAGCCTCTCAGATAAAAGTTTGTTATATGAAGGGACTTAAAGGTGTGATTAATAACTGGAATTTGACATTAAAAAAACTCAACATAAGCTGATAATATAAGAAATGTGACTTTATTTATAAACCACATTTTAAACACACAAAGTGCTTTATGCTGACAGGAAAAAACATTAGAACAACATTCAAAAAATAAAATAAAATGTAGAATAAAACTAATTAAAATAGAATAAAAAATACAAATAGAGTAGATCAGAATCACAGTTAGAATGCAGTAATAAATTGTAAGTTGCTCCGAAGAATTCAGCTTTAAAAGAATGCTGACAAGTCTAAAAAGTAAAACAAGTAAAGACCAGGCACTTCCTGTTGTGACCTTTGACCTCACATTCTTGACATAACCTGCTGCCACCAGGATGTCACTAATTTGTGTGTGTGTGTGTGTGTGTTTCAGTGTGTGAGCTGCACGTCCACGCTGACTGTGCCATCTTCAGCTGTGCAGACTGTCGCAGTTCTCACCTGGATGGGACTCTGCAGCAGGTGAGTGTGAGGATCGGTTACCGTAAAGTCTCTAATACAAGCAGCTACAGAAAGAAGAGGCTCAAAACTACAGTGAAAGTCAGTGAACGTTTGCAGCCAATAAATGATATCATTGGTGCCTTGGACAGTGAACAGCATTGTGTTTCAATTTATTGAGCCAAGTATGTGCGACTCCTCTACGATAGGTGGAGATAGGCCCCCTTTCAGCTTGTTAGTATTGGACCTTTTTCCTGTTGACCTATTACGTCACAGACCAAACAATGGACAAACAAGTTAGCTATGGTTAGCTAGCAGCTAACTGGTACCATGGTGGACAGCTTTACAGCTCTGTACATTTGGTGCATGCTGTACGCTTTACTTTTTCTTCTCTTCTACTGTTACACATTTAATGCTATTCGACTTCCGGGTCAAAGCCCAGGGCGGACACTGTGGCGCAGGTACCGTTCATCATCACTCTGAGGTTTTGATGAAGATGCTGTAGATTTAGGCTGCGATGTTTCTTGTATCAACTTACGACTATGTTGGTATTTCCAGTTCTTAATCAGCTCCATAATCAGTGTGTCACTGCTGCACCTGTTCTTCACCTCACACAGTATCTGCCTCACCCCCAGTCGTATCATCTCTCCAGCTTGCTCCCAGGGAAAAGTGTCTTGATAAACCTCCACAGCTGTGACCTTTGACCTCTGCTATCATCTCTGGTTACTTAACATAGTGGAGATCCAGTCGAGTTGATTTTATTTGTGCTGCCTGAAGTCATAAATCTGCTGCAAATGACTTTGCATCTATCTGTCTGTGCAACACACAATCTTCAGTAGTGCGTGTGTGTGTGTGCCAGACTAATGTGACTGAGTGTTATTGATCAGTCTGGCTGATCAGCTGACACCTGCCGCTGTCACACACTCTTTAATCAAAGACTTCCTGAGACTCTCAGTGTGTGTGTGTGTGTGTGTGTGTGTGTGTTGATCTGAGCTGATTGATCGGTCACAGCCGCTGATTAAAATCAATCCTTTAGAGCTGATGATGGCTGTCGGATTGAAAACCAGTTCAACAGTAAATGACTGACAGGAAACCAGCAGCACAAACACCACAAACTGGGTCAGACTGGTGTGCAGCTTTAAGCCCGCTGGTTTTTACCAAAGATGTAAATCTTTAGAAACACAAATATGACAGTTTTCAGCTGCGGATTAATCCACATTTGGTGCTCTGGCAGGACGAGTCAAAATCATAACCCAGTACTCTAATGAATTCTGACTCTGGATCTACTTTCTCTCGCTGCAGGATACGTTCCACCACCACTGGAGGGAGGGGAACCTGGCATCAGCGGCGAGGTGTGAGGTGTGTCGACGTTCCTGCGGTTCGTCTGACGTCCTGTCAGGGATGCGGTGTGAGTGGTGCGGCATCACGGTAAGAACCAGCTGAACCACGTCACTCAGACCTGCTGATGTTGTATGTTGACCGACTCACAGACCTGCAGACGTGTAGGGCCCCTAAAGTCCCAACTTCACTGTGTGTCAACTGGTTTTTAGTGTCCGTCACGCTTCCTTCCAGCGTCTTTTAACAGTTTTACGGTTTGTTCTCCAGAGTCCAGATGAGAGGAGTTGATAAAAGTTGTGGATCAGTTGATCTTAAAGCGTTATATTGACGATTTTCAACCAGCACTGTGTCACCACAGTGTGTTGAGTGTGTGCCTGTCTGGCAGCACTGGGAAGCAACTTTGCATTTCTTAAGATGGCAAAGGCATGACCCACCCCACTCTTCCTCACTCTGATTGTCTTACTCTGAAATTCTTACCCTAATCAATCATGCTCCATTGATGATTGATCACTCAGTCCACCGTGTGTGTTGTCATTTTTTCAGAGCCACGGGGCGTGTTACCTCAGCGTGCCACCAGAGTGCACTCTGGGACGTCTGCGCTGCATGCTGCTGCATCCGGCCTGCGTCCGCCTCGACTCCAGAAACTTCAGCAAGATGCATTGCTACTGCATCACCGAGAGCTGCAACCATGACCTGGGTATACACACACACACACACACACACACACACACACACACATATATAAACACACACCACCAGACCACATCCTCTGTGATGCTGCGTGTGAAGCAGAAACACTCGGCTCATTTCCTGAAAGCTTCGCTCTTTCGTCTGAACTGTGAAACTAAAAATGAGGTTTTTCACAAAATCATGATGTGAATACTGACGACTGTGTTTGTGAGAGTGTTGTTCAGTGTGTGTGTGCGTGTGTGTGTGTGTCGGCCTGCAGAGAAGTGAGACCAGAGTCTCTGCAGGTTTATTAAGATTCAAATGAGGATGTTGAAAACTCACAAACAAGTTAATTAAACAAAAGTGAAAGTGCACAGTGAGATTCAGCCAGGAGCAGATGGAAACAAACTTTAGCCAAGTCATTTTAACAATGTTTATTTAAAAACAAGACTTTTCATCACTGGACAAATCTATGAAAAAGTGCAGAACAAAAAACAATGTTAACAACAAAGTACAGCTCATATGTTTACATATATATCTACAGTATATTCAATATCTCCAGTCGTCTCTCTGACTGTTCCCCTCCATGTCTCCATCAGATAACTGTGATGATGTTGATCCGTCTGCTGCTGCGTCCAAAGAAGGTCAGCCGGCTGCTGCAGAGTCGGGTCAGTTCACACGTTACATCTCTGATCCTTCAAATTTTCCTTCATTTAGTTTTAGGGGAATTTCAGAATAAAAGTCATTGCAGATTTTTTTAATTACAAACTCTTAGACTTTTATTTTGAAATATAGAACATATCTCAGTGTAGAGTAGTGGTGGTGGTGGTGGTACAATCCTGCAGCTACACAAAAACATAGAGTGTGTGTGTGTGTGTGTGTGTGTGTGTGTGTGTGTGTGCGCCCCACAGGGAAGCAGTTTCTGAAGGTGTTTGACGGTGATGATGCGGCCAAGCGAGGTTTCTTCCGATTGGTTTCCATGATTCGAGCCACAAGGAATGAGGAAGTGGTGGTGAGAGCTTCCCTAAAACATTTCACACACGCTACTACCGTTACCACAACTACCATGAATACTACTACAACCTGTACGACTACTGCTGCTATTTATAGTGACACGACTGCTAGCTTTTGTACAACATGAGATTATCATCAGGGGTTAGGGAGCTCTGCATGAAAATAAACCAAGCTTTGCACACAGGTTCAGTCCCGTTCCTCAGATAAAACTTGTGTCTACCTGTCCTCATGGTGGCGCTACAGCAGCTGTACATCTTTGAAAACTTTGACCATTCATAACAAATCAGCCGTATGTGCTACGCCTTTGCAACCTCACAGGAGGCGGCGCTGCGGGCCTTTTACCTCCCAGATGACCCTCAGGACTACGAGCTGCAGGAGGTCGGTGGCTTGCAGCGTCTCCATAGCGACGACATCCTGAACCGTAACGGCGGTCCGGACAACCGAGGTTCTCTGAAGGACGGAGGTGACTCCTGGCTGCTGAGGGCCAAACCCCGAGACACTGAGGTCATCAAGGTGTACGCAAGCTGGCCCAGGTGAGACATACTATCAGTGTCTTCATTTGGCTCAAACGTACTGGTGTTTGTCCAGTTTGTTCATGGTCTCACCTGGTGTGTTTCAGGTCGGATGCTGCTTTCATCTCCGTCTCCGTCTCTAAAAACAGCACAGCGGAGTCAGTCCTCACCGAGGTCCTCAGTCAGCTCGACAGACAGGTGACTGTTTCCCTCAGACTTCTTCTTACCAGCACAGAAATCAAAGTGTAAACATCATGTAACACCACGACTGTTTACACTTTAGTCTTTGTTCTGATTAAACAAACCATACGTTGCTGACAGGTGGATTTTATCACCTTCAGACAGAGGCAGGTCAGCTGTTTCCCTCTGTTTCTAATCTTTATGCTAAGCTAAGCTAACCAGCTGCTGGCTTCACATTCCCAGTACAGACATGTAGCATGAAGTTAATAAACATATTCACTAAAATGTGAAACTATTCCTTTTTATGTTTTTCTTTTAAAATTGTATTTAATTATTTATCAATATCAGATAAACTATGTTGATCCCTGAGGGCAAATTATGATTTGTTACAGTCGCTATGTATGAAATAGAAGTATGTAAATATAAAGCAATAAAATAAAATAGAAATAAAATGTGTATTATGCTGCTGTGTTTAACATTAGTACTTAAGATATTAAAATAATAAAGATAAAATAGTAATTGTCACTGCACTGAGGCTACAAGTGTGATATTTGCATCAGTAGAATAAAACAAATATAGAATTAGAGTTAAAAAAAAAACAAATTTGTAAAAAAGAAAAAAAAAAAGAAATACCAAAAAAGAAATAGAATTTTTGTACCATAATTTTAAATCTTAAAATTATATTTAATGTTATATTAAATTTTAATTAATAAGATTATACATTTATTTATTTTTTCTTATGTCCCCATTTTTGTTAATATAATTTATTATTATTATTATTATTATTATTATTATTATTATTATTGTTATTATTTCTTTTTTTTTTTTGCAATTTTTTGACATTTCATACCAAGTTTGAAACAAATCACCCCAATATGCTCAGGGTTCAAAGGTTTACATACTTTTGAAAGGAGTCTGAAAGCAGCACAAGGAAAGTGATGTCGCTCCAGGTTTCAAAGGGTTAATGAATCTCCTGCTAATGATGATAATGATGTTTCAGGAGGAAGATGTGTCCAGTTTCAGCCTGTTGGAGGTCTGCATGAGCAGCAAGCAAGGTGAGCAGTAATGTCAGTAATAAAGCCCACACATTAAACACCAGTTCTGTCCTTTAAACCCTCTGATGTCTCTGCAGAGTGACTCATCATCACTCAGGACAGAGAAATGCCTAAACCTGCAGCAGGTGATGATGATGATGATGATGATGATGAAGCAGAGCTGGAGATGAATTTGTTCGCCATTAAAATCCCATAATCATAAACCCATAATTTGAAAATATCTGCCTGAAAAAAAAAACAACCCTTAAATTAAGTTATAAAAACGCCCTGATTATAAGAGCAGCATGTTGGAGCTCTGCATGATAACCAGGGGTGTAGTGCAAATAGACTTATATTATAAGTACGAAAGCACATGCATGCTCGTGCACAGATAAGCTGTGGCTTGTTTTTAAAAGTTAAATAATATATGCCTCAGTAATAATTGGATCTTAAAGTGCTTAAAAAACTGTGTATGAATTTCGACATCATCATGCAAACTGTGAATAGTCTGCTTCCTAACTCGGAGAAAAAAGTGTCAGTGCGTGGTTCTGGCAGCGCTACACCCGCGGTGACAACACATCAGTGAAGGTCATGTTGTCTCTGTGTTTGTCCTCCAGTTCAGAGACAGACGCTGACGCCTCAGGAGAAGATTCAGGACAAGCTGCAGGAGATCAGGAAGGTAGGAGGAGATAAAACAGCTGCAGAGAAACAACACATAAGCACACACACACACAGCATACAGCACACAGAGTTTTTTTTATCACATCGATCTGTTCAGTTCTGAGTTTTAGACAGTGAGGTTTTAAATGCAGGACTTTTACTTGAGTATTTTTACAGTGTTGTATCAGAAAGGATCGGAGTACATCTTCCATCACTGGTTTACTGCTTTTTAAAAGATCTTTTCACCTTATAAACCTGCATGCTTAAACTTATTTTATTTTATGTAATGTAACAGTTTCAATTTAAGTGACCTGACAAATACTTAATTATGAATTATATATTTATTATTATATTTCTTTATTTTAAATACAGATTTGATGTTTTCATCTTTATCTTATTTACTTGGTTGAATAGGACAGTGTTTCCTCTGGGCCCAGAACGTTTCCCTGAGGGACTCCACAACCTATTAAAGACAGAAAACAAAAGGGTTGAAAGAAATTAATTTTACAGGAATATTTTTACTGCTGTTTGTTTCTAGATTCTAGAAATTATAGTCTCTACAATGGTGTATTTATTTATTATATTGAGTTTACATGTATTACAGATATAGTACAAAAGAGACAAGCGCATAATTACAGAGCACAGTTTAGTAATTAAGTTATTGAGTCATGAAGAAACAACTAATGAAGTTAAGGGAGGCAAATAAGAACATTGAGAACACAAATCAGTTATTTGGGGGCAAAATGACCCTTTAAAATCGAGATTAATACATTTTTTTTTAATGCTGGGAAACAATCATACTTTTTTCTTCTTCTGTTTTCTTTTTCTTCTTTCACTTTTTTGTAATTTGGATTTTATTGAATTTTTCCATGAACATCATCACATTTTGGCCAACAAATCAAATGACAAAATATCAACAATAAATAAATTAACTGAAAATATACAATGAAAATAAAAAACATTAAACTCAAATGTATATTCCCATATTAATTTGCAGTGTAATCTCATTTACAAACAACACATTAATTCTCAGACATAGAAAGAGTTTGTATGTGAATATTACAGACATGATGTTGTCTCACCTCATTTTTTATTATATTTAATTTGAGTCCAACCTTTCGACTGTGTCACTGAAACATCAGACAGGAGCATGAGTTTTTACAGGTGACATAAGCATGATTAATTGATTTATTGATTGGTTTATTTTCCCAGGTGTCTCTGCGTCAGATGAACCAGACTCGGTTCTACGTGGTGGAGAGCAGGAACCGAGCGGTGCAGGTCAACCTGCTGATTGGAGGACTGCCCGCCCTGCTGAACAAAGAGGAGTACGCCAAGCTGATCCAGGAACACCTGACCATCAAAAGTGAGTGTGAGCCACTGGTTAACGTCACCTGAGACAAATTTACCTGAGAACATCACTCTGCATCCTCCTCTTTACTTCCTGTCTGCTGCTGCTTCTTCTTCTTCTTCTTCTTCTTATTGAGGTCAGCTCACAGTTTCTCTCTCGGTCTCTGCAGGTCATCTGGTCACCATCAGCCACATCTATGCCAGTCAAGGTGAGGCAATTGTCATGGAAATCATCCTGCTGGGTAGATGTTGAGGATATGTTCAGTGCTGTGATCAGTGATTAAATAATAGAATAAGAGCATCAGATCTTCTGTCTGTAACCAGCTTTTACATCATTTAATTTTTAATGTTGTAGTGACAGTTTGTTTCGCTTTAAAAGCAGCTGAGAGGCTGAAAAAGTCTCTTATAAGTCTTTCAGCTCTGTGTTCCCCAGCCTTTTCTGGTTTGTAGCCCCTTAAGACAAAGTTGAACAAAGACAGAATTTTGTCTCTTGGCTGAATCATTTTCTGAAAGATCTGAGCCATTGTTCCTCAACGGGGGTGTGTCTAACCCTAGGACAGTGGTTGGCAACCTGAAGCTCCAGAGCCACATGCAGCTCTTCAGCCCATCATCAGTGGCTCCTTGTGGCTTTGACAAAAAGTTATATAAACTAATGTCAGCTGTTTTTTTTTCCCAACATTTGAATTTTCAAATTCTATGGCCTGGCACTTTTTATTATAAATTTAGCTGAACCTAAACAGCAGTGGCTTCTTAAGTTTTCCTAGCTAGACTAGCTTTGGATTCCACATCCAAAAATCAAAAAGTGTAGTAAACGCATCAATAAATGCTCATTCAGATGTATTAGTAATGTTGATAACACTTTACTTGAAGGTATCTACTTAAAAATGACATGACGCTGTCATAACTATGACATGACACAGTCATAAACATTATGAACATGTCATAAGCGTTTATGACTGCTGTCATTAAGTGTCATTCGGTTTTTGTAATGACAAGTTGACATTGTTTGGGTTGTCTTGATTATGACAACTTGACATTAATCAAAGTGACATTACGAGAAGATGTCTTTGTCATGACAACTTGACATTAAATTTGTTTGGGATGTCCCTATTGTGACAACTTGACATTAACCAGGATGACATTACCAGAAGATGTCTTTGTCATAACAACTTGACATTGGGGCGTGGGTGGCTTAGTGGATAGAGCAGGCGCCCCATGTACAAGGCTGTTGTCGCAGCGGCCCGGGTTTGAGTCCAGCCTTTGCTGCATGTCATCCCCTCTCTCTCTCCCCCTCTCATACTTACTTCTCCTGTCCATTAAAGGCAAAAATGCCCCCAAAAATATCTTTAAAAAAAAACAAAAAACAACTTGACATTAACAAGAAATGCACATTTTTTTGTGTTTATGACAAGTTGACATAATGATTATTATTGTTATGACAAAGACATCTTCTGGTAATGTCATCTTGGTTAATGTCAAGTTGTCATAATAGGGACCTCCCAAACAAATTTAATGTTAAATTGTCATGCCAAAGCCAACTTCTGGTAATGTCACTTTGATTAATGTCAGGTTGTCATAATCAAGACAACCCAAACAATGTCATCTTGTCATTGCAATAATCAAGACAACCCAAACAATGTCATCTTGTCATTGCAAAAACTGAATGTCACTTAATGACAGCAGTCATAAACGTTTATGACATGTACATGATGTTTATGACAAGTTCATGACCGTGTCATGTCATAGTCATGACAGTGTCATGTCACCCTTATGTAGATACCTTCAAGTAAAGTGTTACCATAATGTTATAGGCTAAATAAGACTTAAATTATAAGGTTCAAATATGTTTTGCAGCTCCAGACACATTTTGTATTTATTTTTTTGGCCAAAAAAGGCTCTAGGAGTACTTTGAAGTAAGCAGGGGGTACTTAAGATTTTTTTAAGTCTTAATTTAAAACACTTAAGTCGTGCATTATTTCTATCCCAGCTGACACTGGGTGAGAGGCAGGGTTCACCCTGGACAGGTCACCAGACTATCACAGGGCTGACACATAGAGGCAGACAACCATTCACACTCACATTCACACCTACGGACAATATAGAGTCACCAATTAACCTGCATGTCTTTGGACTGTGGGGGGAAGCTGGAGTACCAGGAGGAAACCCACGCTGACACAGGGAGAACATGCAAACTCCACACAGAAGGGCAATAATTCTCTTTTTAACTGCAACGCAGAGTGGATATCTTCCTAACTCCACATAAACCATATTATTGTCAGGTTGTAAAGTATTCGTAAGAAAGAATTTGTAAAGCAACGAAAGTTGTCAGGTAGATGTAGTGGAGTAGGAAATACCAAATGGCACAAAAGGGAAAAGAACAAATACCTGAGACGTGTACTTATATCTGTGTGTGCTCAGGTGCAGTGGCTTTGCAGATCTCGTGTTTCTCTGAAGCAGAGAGGATCTACATGTTGGCTAAAGACACGACTGTCAGCAACAAGACGCTCACTTCACTCGTTATCCCAGAGATCTTGGTGAGAATCATTTCATAAAACTACAAACACTGTTTCTGATGCAAACACACATGACTTCTAACCAGGATTTTATCAGGTTGTGTTTTGTCACTAGAAAGGTGACTAAATATAGTTCTTGTGAATGTCTTTCAGCACAATCAGCTGGGAGAAGATGTCTGTCCCCTGCTGGTGTTTGTCAACCCAAAGAGCGGCGGCCTGAAAGGCAGAGAGCTCCTCTACAGCTTCAGGAAACTTCTGAACCCTCATCAGGTCTTTGACATTTCCAATGGAGGACCGCTGGCAGGGTGAGAGAAACAAACGCACCCTGAGAGTTTCAGGTCTGAGAGTCAGCGCTGTGATGTCACTGACATCCACATCAGAGGGCAGATGATTATTGTCACATTTAATTCATAAGGAATGTCTCACTCGTAGATGACAAACAGTTTTCTCTATGCAAGACTTTTTAGTAATCAGATTACTTTAGAACGGCGACTGCAGCCTTTTTGATGACAGACGTCCTTACCGCGGTACAAAATCAAATGTTTCTGATGTTCCCTGTTCTTCTTCTTCTTTGATCCAGCCTCCACACATTCCGGGAGGTTCCCAGCTTTCGGGTGCTGGTCTGTGGGGGTGATGGGACAGTGGGCTGGGTGCTGGGAGTACTGGAAGCTGTGCGGCACAAACTGGTGTGTCGAGAGCCGCCCATCGGCATCGTACCGCTGGGAACAGGTCAGACCAGCACAGAGCAGCTCACTGACTCTGAGAGGTGAGAGGGTCAGTATCTACTAAAGTCTGTCTCGTCTCTGCAGGTAACGACTTGGCCCGTGTCCTGAGGTGGGGACCAGGTTACAGCGGCGAGGACCCCCACCACATCCTGGTCTCTGTGGATGAGGCCGACGAGGTTCTAATGGACCGGTGGACCATCCTGCTGGATGCACAGGACATTTCTGAGGACGGAAAGGACAACGGCTTCCTGGAGCCACCCAAGGTCTGGTCTAGGTCCTGCAGGACAGTCAGGAACATGTCATTAGGGTTTTATTAATCAGCCTCTCAAATCTGGAGTGCTGCATCTGTCTGATATCATAGAAATCTTTATAGGAAAATACAAAATCTGTGAGACCAAACTCTGTCTTAAAGGAGCAATGTGTAGGATTTAGTGGCATCGAGTAGTGAGCATTGCAGATGGCAACCGGCTGAAACTTCTCCCATGTGCCAAGCATGAACTCCTGGTCAGAATTCCTTTAGTGTCAATCGTTCTGGAGGTTTACAGTATATTTAACAGTAATAACGACAGGGTTAAATGTCTCTCTTTGTGTCTCAGATTGTGCAGATGAACAACTACTTTGGCCTCGGCATCGACGCAGAGCTCAGCCTCGACTTCCACCAGGCCCGAGAGGACGAACCTGATAAATTCACCAGCAGGTGACACTTGAGTTTATTCAGACACAGCTGAGACGTGTTTCTATAAAACAAAGACTTCATTTACATTCAGCTTCCTGTCTCCGCCCCCTCACAGGTTCCATAACAAAGGTGTGTACGTGAAGGTCGGCCTGCAGAAGATCAGTTACACCAGGAGTCTCCACAAAGAGCTGCAGCTTCAGGTCGACACTCAGAACGTCCCGTTACCAAACATAGAGGGGCTCATCTTCCTCAACATACCCAGGTAACACACACACTAAACACACATCATTTACATATCACATCCTCACTGTGACCTTACACTGACACATTCCTGTGTGTGTTTGTGTGTAGTTGGGGTTCTGGTGCTGACCTCTGGGGGTCAGAGGTCGATGGTCGCCATGAGAAACCAAGCATTGATGACGGCCTGCTTGAGGTGGTCGGGGTCACCGGGGTCGTTCACATGGTGAGAGAAGTCACAACTAGGGCTGTAACGTATACAGGAGTCCAGGTTTGGTGCAACTTTGGTACTGTGAAACAAACAAATAAATTGTGTGTGTGTGTGTGTGTGTGTGTGTGTGTAGGGCCAGGTGCAGAGCGGTATGCGCTCAGGGATTCGTATCGCTCAAGGGAACTACATCCGGCTGACGGTGAGCAAACCCATACCTGTCCAGGTGGACGGAGAACCGTGGATCCAACCGCCCGGACACATCATCATCTCTGCTGCTGGACCAAAGGTTTGTCCCTGTTGGGCACCTGTAGTTTGTCTTTTCTTTTCTTCCCTTTTTTTTCTGTCTTGCATCTTTCCTCCTTTCCATTTTTTTGTCCTTTTGTTTCCTTTCTTCTTTTGTTTTTTTCAATTCTTTTTTTTTTTTCTCGATCTTTTATTGTATTGATGTGATTCATTTTAGTTTGGTTTATTCTGAGTGCCTTTACTTGAACTGGAGTTTGAGATACACTGTGTGCACCTGTAGTTTATTTGTAGTTTGGTATTTTCTGTGTATACCTGTTGTGTGTTCGTAGTTTGGTGTAATTTATTTATACCTGTAGTTTACCTGTAGTTTGGAGTTTGCTATGTATTCATGGGATTTACCTGTAGTTTGGTATATTCTGTGTATACCTGTAGTTTATCCTTAGTCTGGCATTTTGTGTGTATACCTGTAGTTAAGCCTTAGTTTTGCATTTTGTGTGTATACCTGTAGTTCATTAGTAGTTTGGTATCCTTACTTTCGTATATTGTGTGTATACCTGTAATTTATTTGTTGTTTGGTGTTTTCTGTGTTTACCTGTAGTTTATCCTTGGTTTGGTATATTGTGTGTATACCTGTAGTTTATTTGTTGTTTGGTGTTTTCTGTCTTTACCTGCTGTTTATCCTTAGCTTGATATATTGTGTGTATACCTGTTATTTATTTGTTGTTTGGTGTTTTCTGTGTGTACCTGTAGTTTATTTGTTGTTTGGTGTTTTCTGTGTTTACCTGTTGTTTATCCTTAGTTTGATATATTGTGTGTATACCTGTAGTTTATTTGTTGTTTGGTGTTTTCTGTGTTTATCCTTGGTTTGGTATATTGTGTGTATACCTGTAGTTTATTTGTTGTTTCGTGTTTTCTGTGTTTACCTGTAGTTTATCCTTGGTTTGGTTTATTGTGTGTATAGCTGTAATTTATTTTTTGTTTGGTGTTTTCTGTGTTTACCTGTAGTTTATCCTTGGTTTGGTATATTGTGTGTATACCTGTAGTTTATCCTTTGTTAAGTACATTGTGTGTATACCTGTAGTTTATCCTTAGTTTGGCATTTTGTATGTATACATGTAGTTCATTCGTAGTTTGGTATCCTTACTTTTGTATATTGTATGTATACCTGTAATATATTTGTTGTTTGGTATTTATCCTCAGTTTGATATATTGTGTGTTTACCTGTAGTTTCTCAGTTTGGTATTTCTGTGTATACCTGTAGTTAATTAGCAGTTTGATATTTTCCATATTTACCTGAAGTTTATCCTTAGTTTGGTCTGGTATATTGTGTGTATACCTGTAGTTTATTTAGTGTTTAATATTTTCTGTGTTTACCTGCAGTTTATCCTTAGTTTGATATATTGTGTGTGTACCTGTAGTTTATTAGCAGTCTGGTATTTTCTGTGTTAACCTGTAGTTTATTTGTTGTTATTTATACTCCATATTTTCTCTGCTGTGTCTGCAGGTTCGGATGCTGAGGAAGTCGAAGCAGAAGCAGAAGAAGTCTGGTTCAAAGGACGGACGTTCTGAGAGTCCGTCCTCCAGAGATGGAGGACACTGACCAACCTGCCTGAAAATCAGTGTCGTGGATTTTACCTACTTCCTGCTGCACCTGGGAGGCCATTTTGGTGCCAACTGTAATTTCACTCATGTAGCTGTGTAGCGATGCTGACGGGCTGCAGGTCGACTTGATTGAAGGAGGTTTAACGTTTACACACGTTGGGATGAAGAACTGGATCGCCTCAAGTTTGGTACAGTTGGGATCACATTTCCATCCTGCTGACTGAACACTTATCACTTACAGATGGTTAATATTCAGAAACTAAATTGACTTTTGTACCTAAAGCGTAACAATAACATGTAATTCATAGATTAAAATTATTCTGCATAGATTAAGAAAGAGTTGACAATTTCTCAGTATGAATAAGCTTCAGCATTGAACAAAAAAGTTATAGTATTTAACAGAAGTGAGTTTCTGTCCAGATGTGACTGTATATGTACAGTAGGTAGCAGTAGACTCAGTTTCAGTTGATTTATTGTAGTAACTTTAGTTGTAAAAAGTAATGTGCAGCTATAGAGTGATTATGACCTCAGTGTTGGTCATATTGTCATTTGAGAATATGAAAAAACTGAAGTACTGAAGCACTCCTGAAGAGACCGACAGGCAGTTTCTTTGAGAAGCTGTAACCTCATTACATTAATCTTAACCATAGAGCTCCTGGGAGGCTGAGCTGGCTCTCTTCTTCTTCTTCTTCTTCTCTTGTGTAGAATTCTTTGGTAATGGTGGTTTTAGACAGCATTCATGTTGCAGTGAAGCTCCTCAAAGCTAATGAGCGCACAGAATCAGACAAGAAATCTCTAAAACCACCGTGCAGAGTCAGTGTGTAACCGGAACAAGAATCAAGGAACTGATGAAAAAACTAAGATAAATAAGTAAGATCAGACTGAGCTGTGGCAACAAGTTTTAAACTCAAGATAAAGTGGTAAAGCCTGAAGCACAATTTGTATTTTAGCAAATGGGAAATGTGAAGCTTTTACTTGTACACCAACTGTAAATATTTGATTGGACGTATGTGTCCATGTTTCACGAGGTTTGTTTTGCCACAAATAATCATTTTGTTATAATATTTAGCACAAGACATCGATCTTGTGCATATTAGATAATAACGTGTGAACAAAGGATTAAAAAAATATCTTTTGTGATTTTGGAGACTTCATAGAAACCTATAAAAACATGTGACATTATCGGATTTACACAAAATCTGGCAGTTGCATATCTGTATCTGCTTAAGTTAATCACTTCAAATACTTGCACTCGTATGAAAAAAATTGTCAGTCCTAGATCATGTATTTTGCGAAAAGTTAGAAAAAGTAGCCTATAAAACAAGAGACGCTGCCGTAAATAGTAGCACATAATAATCAAAAAAAGTTAGCATTGGGCTAAGTGCTCATATGACCAAGTTTGCAACCTTAACAATTTTGTTTTGATTAGCTTAGCACAAAACAACAATTAGTGCACAAAGTTACAACAAATTAATTACATTAATTACTTATCAATTAATTACAACAAATAAAAATCAGAATTTTACAGGTTGTTCCGAAACATAAGCCTGCCAAGAAATCTGTACGTTAATTTGTATCTTTACGTTAGTTGGCTGCTAAGTTACATAATTGACTTATCTGTTTGTCCAACTTTCATATTAAGATTGCAAAACATCAGCTGGAATGCTACAGATGTTGTTCTTGCTACGATAGAAACTGTGCTGCAGGTTTACACTTGATTTTCAGTTTAACGTTTTCAGCTGTGAAGTCTGACTGACTTTTCCTTCTTTGTCTTCTCCGATAGCAGTTAGCTTGGTCTTCTCCGATAGCAGTTAGCTTGTTGAGTCTAAAGTGCATTTTATTAAACTGAGTTTATCTGAGTTTTCGAGCGGCAAACCCAAAATTTAAAAGAGACAAATGTTTGCTATTTTTGTAACGGACAACACAGTTGTTCGTAAATTCCCTCTTGCCCCCAAAGCCAACAGAAGAGATCACATTAGAAAATGAGCCATTGTAATCAAAGGCTGCACCAGTTACTACTAGCTAAATTACAGTGCCATATCTAGCTTGCAAGCTGGTTAGCAAAGCTAGCTACTTTGCTAGTATGCCAAAACAAAACTTAATTTAAGTAAAATAGCTGTAGCTGCGGATAGCACTCAAAACTGAAAGCTAGAAAACTAGCTCAGTGTTAGCTTAGCAAGCTGGTTGCTAAGATAGCTTTCTAAAACAAAATAAAAAACAAATATCAATTAATTTCAGGAAGAACAAAAATGTAAAAAATGGTATAAATTTAGTAAAATTGGGGGACAAAATGTGGCACTGCAATTAAAGATAGCACCAGACATTAGCTAGTAAACTAGCTACATTGCTAGCTAAACTAAACTAGAAACATCATTAGGTTGGCAGGCTAGTTAGCAAACTAGTTTGCCAAAACTTAATTTGTGGAATAAATTGAGCTGGCAAGCTAGTTGCCAAGCTAGCTTGCCAAAACAATATTAAAACAAAACTCAGTTAAACGTAACAATGAAAATGTAAATCAAGGGTATGAATTTAATAAAACGTGGGAACAAAATGTGGCACTGTTAATGATTGTGGCACTGAAATTATAGATCAGACATGAGCTAGAAAATTAGCTACATTAGCCTACTAGCTAATCTAACCAGAAATGTTAGCAAGCTACTGTATTAGCAAGCTTGCTAGATAGCAAGTTAGATTGCCAAAACTGAAATTTGTAGATTAAATTGAGGGTTTAAATAAACTTTCCTTCAATTACTAAAATGGGGGAACACAGTGAAGCTACGGATATCACTAGAAACTGAAAGCTAGAAAACTAGCTTAGTATTAGCTTGGCGAGCTGGTTGCCAAGCCAGCTCGCCAAAACAATGTTAAAACAAAATTCAATCAAACAAAAAATAAATAGGTAAATCAAGGGTATAAATTAATAAAATGCCGAAACAAAATGTGGCACTGTGAATGACTGTGGCACTGGGATTATAGATATCACACATGAGCTAGAAAATGAGCTACATTAGTCAACAGCTAATCTAAACCAGAAATATTAGTGAATAAAAAAAAATATTGGCTAATTAGCTACTAGCAAGCTAGCTAATTACTTATATGAAGGCATAAAATTAAATTTATCACATTATTAGTTATTTGAAGCAATGCGTTGCAATTTGAGGGTAAAATTGCTCAATTTAGGAGACAATTTGTTGAAAAAATTCAGTGTATAACCAAATGTCTCAGTATATACAGTAACTTTGAACTGTCAAAATGATCATTTCCTCCAGAGTGTGACTGTAAAATAATCATAATATTCCTGTAATAATAGCCATTTGTACAATATCCGATCTGCTATTCTAAAATGTTAACCTAAATTATTTTCTACAAGTTATTATTAGGTTTCTAACATCAATGCTGTTATTGCTCAAAGGTATAAAAGTGCAGATGCATGAGTTTATTTTGCTGCCACCAGGAAACTTTGCGAACATGAGCTTCAGCTGCCAGTTTGAACGCAAACGCCTCTTGACAGAAAGACGGAGGAGAATTTAGTTAAAGAGGAACTTCGTCCACATTCCCGGAGATGCAGAACGTTAAGACTCTGGGCTAGATCTTATGCTGAACGTCTCAGCTCTTCATGTAGCCACAACAGTATTTGATCACTGTACTCTGGTTATAATATTTAGGTTTTTTTTTTTTTTATTACAAGATCTATTATTTTTGACGTCTTTGGTGCTAGAATAATATCTCATAGTTCTGTGTTTCAAGATTCAAGGATCTTGGTTTTATTCAAAGCCTCAAACCAAACCCAAGTAGACGGATGCTCATAGTTAATGAATTTATTTAATGAATTTAATAAATACAGATTACAGTGAGGGTTTCTGGCCTTGAATAAAGGATGATCTGATACATCAGAGGCATTAACTGTTCATTTCTTTTGACTGTGGAGTAAACTGCTGAGCTTCATCAGTAGTCAGAGGTGTTTCCTACAGTCGACACTGTGTGTACTGACACGTAGCTGTGAGTAGTTTAAACTGTACACATAAGAGATACTGTCACAGTGTTTTATTACATGTATGAAGTACTGTAGTTCTGAGTGTTGAGTGTATTTACAGCAGCATTTTATCTCCTCTTCATTCACACTAATGAGTCAGTCTGTCGCTGTTTAAGAATCACAACTGCTGGTTTTACATGTTCTAAACAATTAGGTGCATAAACTTCACATTCCTGCTCATCATTCTCCAAGTAATTTTCAGTCACTGTTTTCAATTTATTTCTATGAAAACCAGATTGCAGAGACTTGAAACTTGCTGCAGAGATATTTAGTGATGTCAGTTTTGTTTTTGAAAACTCCGCTTTTGTGCATTTAAGAAGCTTGACATGTAAGAGCTGACAGTCGCCTGCCAAGTTATTTTGTCGTGTAATATTTTTGCAAAAAGGCAAAACAATTCAAAGCAATGGTGGAGCACACATAGTTATTTTGCAGGTATTTATTACATCCTTTATTTTCATTTTTTTTATTTTTTTCATCGGAAAATCAAGCACAGGATTCATGATTTTTGTTTTATTTTATTTATTGATTTATTTTGTAGGGCTGTCCCGAATACCATTTCTGGGGTTTGGAAGCTTCTGTAATAATTACCCACAAATATTCGACCCATGAGGAGTCTATTGAATATCCTGAAACAGGGGTCAGTGATGGTGCTGAGGACACTGACCTCATTCATGTCAGAGAGAGGCCACCTCCTTTCAGTTTTGTCCACCAGTTTACTGGTGAAAGACCACAACAAAAAATTATGCATTCAAATACTGATTTAGACATACTGATTACCGAGGCAACAATTGAAGCCTCAAATTACCGTAAAACTTAAATTAGTAGCCCGGGCTATTATTTGCTTAAATCACTGAAATCAATGGGCCTATATTTGGGACAGGCCTTTAGTTCCTTTCACACATAACTATTGCTCAGCAAAGATCAGGAAATACAATCACATTGTTTATTTAAACCAGTATGAATATTACATGTTTAGAAATGAGGCTTCAGATAATATATCAGTACTGAATCATTCATTTGATCTAGCTGCGACAAACAGCGCATCACAGAGTAAGAATTATGACGGCACCCAGCATACCGACACAACACCACTTTATCCTGTTAAAACAGTCCTCACAACTTGGATTCATTTTGATGAAAAACCCTTTTGATTCTTTTGATCTGAGGAATATGAATAACTTACAGGGTAATCGAGGAATGGACACATAATTTTAGGTAGCCAACAACCTGCTTTTACACATCTGAAGAACTTTTATTATAAAAATGAACTGCTTGGCAACCAGACCAGGCTTCTAATTGTGACAGGCCTTTATTTGTCAAAATGTGTAGCCACACTGGGGTAGTAAAAGGGACTGGGCGTTTAATTGGGACTAGGGTTTTAATTTAAGTTTTACGGTATTAAGGTCAGCCCTATTTTTTAGAATGGAAATGTTGATTTAAACTGTAAAATCCCAGCTTCCTGAAATGCACCTTCTTTTTTTTTTCCAGAAGTTCCTCTTCAAAAGTGACTACAAAAAACACTAGATGGTGTTGAGCCTCTGAAGTTCACTAGTGCACTAGTTATTGTCTTGTTCACACAGGTTATAAGAAAAACACCTTTTAGGACTTCAAGTCTCTGTTCATATGATTATATAACTAATATAACAAAAGTTAACTGGTAAATTCAGCAGGAAGTTTCACTTCTCTGTAAGTTGAATTTGACAGAGATGAACTGAAATCATCTTAAAAACTGTCACTATGATTTGCAGGAATATAAAGTTCACTGGCTATAAAGCTAAAAGATGCACAACCAGCAGTTTCGTCGTCAGACTTGAACAAAAAACAAAGCACAAAACATCCTGCAGCTGATGTTCCAACACTGAAGATGAATTTATTTAGTCCAAAGTAAACACTCAAAGTGTTTTCGCCATTTATGACCTAAGAAAGTCCAGACTGAAGAGAACTAACGGGGTTCATTTGGACAAAAATGAATGACAACATCAGATTAAAAGTAGTGTCGAAAATATAGACACAGATTTGTCACCTGAAAGATGAGTTCCCAAACGGCCAAAAAAGAATCAGAAAAAAGAAAACGTAAAATCTCCTTTTACGCTCAAATAATGAGCAAATTAAGAATCTAAAGCGACAGTTTATGATGTCATCATATCTTAAAACTGTTTTTATGGCTGCATTATTCCATCAAATGGAAAAATTGTGCACGTCTGCTGAATCATTTTAGACCCAGATTTAGTCTTTTTTCAATACTTCTAAATAAATCTTCACCACAATTTGAATTAAAGTTTGGTTGGATTGAATAAATGGCGGACAAACCAGAAACTGAATCAGCAGAATTTCAGCCTAAAATCTTTTCTTAATTTGTGCGCTTTTTGAGCAGATATTTCCTCGTGCATCCAAAACAGTCAGATTTCTGTAAACCCTAAATGTTTCTGTTTCTCCACACTCCTCCATCGATGACATAAACTACTTTCATTTGTCGTTGAATGTTTAAAAAAAATGTGCTTATACGTGATCTTTCTGCTTCTCTGCGTCCGTCGTGCCTCATAGTGTCAGACTCACCTGTCGTCACTAAGCCCCGCCCGCCTGACAGCAGGCCAGGTGGTGGTTCGTCCAGCAGGTGGAGGTCTGTGTAGTGCCTCATAGAGAAACGCTTCGACACCCTCAGTGCTCTGATGTTTAACGTGAGTGTGTGTTAACATGTGTTAACGCGCGTGTGTGTTTCCTGTGTGTGAGCTAACGTGCCTCCAGATGTCATCTAGATTTTTCTTTTTGCTGTAACTATGTTCAGTTTTATTACCTGAAGTTTTATTGAATAGATGATATGTATATTTTTGCAGACAGAAGCTGTTTTTTTTCTATTTTAGTTTCAACTGTAAAGTTTTAACTGTAAATTGCACTAATTGTTCTACAGATGCTCTTAGATGTGACGTTCAGATTATTATGAATGTTGTAACATTTAAAGCTGAATATATAATAGTACATATATATGTTTAAATAACTGATTCTTATATGTGTTTAATCACAATAAACTAAATACCATCTAAGAACTAATCATGGTGTCTGTCATGTTTCTCTTTTAACTGGTGACATCTGCAGCATTATTGACAGTGGTGTAAAGTAACAAAGTACATTTACTTAAATACAGATTTGAAGTATTTGTACTTTACTTCAGTAATTTCATTGAATGCTGCAGATATTCTTCTGTTTACTCTTCTATATTAAACTGTGCAGACTCAGATTATTACAACATATACAGACAACTAATAAATTATGTTGTATGTTATACATACACTCACCAGCCACTTTATTAGGTACACCTGTAATGCAAATAGCTAAGTTCAAACGGAGCATCAGAATGATGAAGAAAGGTGATTTAAGTGACTTTGAGCGTGGCATGGTTGTTGGTGCCAGACGGGCTGGTCTGAGTATTTACTGGGATTTTCAGCACAACCATCTCTAGGGTTTACAGAGGATGGTCCCAAAAAGAGAAAATATCCAGTGAGCCAAAATGCCTTGTTGATGCCAGAGGTCAGAGGAGAATGGCCAGACTGGTTCAAGATGATAGAAAGGCAACAGGAAGTCAAATAAGCACTGGTTCCAACCAAGGTGTGCAGAAGAGCATCTCTGAAGCAACAACACCTTGTCCAACCTTGAAGCAGATGGGCTACAGCAGCAGAAG